TAGTTATTTAGAATTTATTTATGTGTCTGGTATTTCTGTTAAACTTTTTACTTCTGCATTGAGAAAACAATCGACCAGCACTGATCCTGTCTGTGTCTATAAGGATATTTCTTTCCCATGCTGAAAATATACAGTATCTAACGTCTTATATTATTCTGTACAATGTACTCTGTAACCTCTACATGGTTGTCAAGGAAACCTCTCCTTCACTCTCCACTGAGTGACTCCATTAGGTGAGAACAGTGCGATCATATATAGGTATTCACATTCAGCTAATACTATTTTTGAAGGCAGTCGCTGATATTCATATTTTGTGTTGAATTCACATCTTTGATTTCATGCAAACATTGTTTGTTTTGGTAGGGGGGAAGGGTGTTTTGCTCTTATTTTGAAAGGACAGCGTAAGACTGACAGGAAAGAGTGAGAGGGAGAGAGAGAGAGAAGGGGTTAACATGCAGCAAATGGCCACAGGTTGGAATGGATTCGGACCCGGGCCGCTGCGGTAAGAACTCAGCCTTGGTACAGGGTCTGCAAGCTCTACCAGCTGAGCTACCGGGGCGCCCGCATTATTTGTGGGATGGGAAGACTTCTGAAGCAGTGTTTAGACCATTATGTTATAACAATGAAAATAAAACATTTATGCGTTCTTGCATGAAATCCGATAGAGCTGAGGGCTTCACATTGCTGCTAGTATTGATCTGGTAATAATCAACCTGCATCATAATCATTGTAATGGAGGTGCACAACACCGACTGAGCCATATCGGATTTGTAATAAAAGTACGTCTGCCACATATACTGCATCAATATAACTCTAATAAAATACAGACACGTCATATTTGGAGTGACAATTCGGGTGTGAATTTGATGATTTGAAAGTTGTTTAAAATCGTGAGTTAGGCCTCTTTTTTAAATAATCCCCTTAGTCCTTACTTACATGCCACTAAAAGTGCTAGCAGTGTCTGTATCTGCAGAAATCCTGCCCTCTGCCTGTATTTTCTTATTATTTTGTTGTTGTGCAGGTCTGTGTGTCTGGTTGAGAGTATGTGCTTCGGCTACATTCATACAAAATCCTACAGTGTGGTTCCTTCCTGCAGGGTTGTGCGGAGGTGTGGTCATCTTTATTTGTGCTTTTAAACATAACTGCCGTGAAACAATCCATAAATAACGCTTTAAATCTCTGATATCTCTCTGATCTCTCTCTGTCTCTCTCTCTCAAGCCGGGGAGGTGGAGGAGCCAACTTTAAATTGTTTGTTTCCAAACAGCATCTGACAAATCCTCATTATGTTTTCCTTAAGCTCTTCGGGAAGCACTGGAAAATGTGCCTGCAACTATTTCCATTATCGATTAATCCGACAACTCTTTTTATCTATTAATCGTCTGGTCTGTAAAATGTGAGAAAAATGTGAAAATTAAAACTTCAGATGCCCTTATCTTTTTTAAATAAATGAATAATTTAAGTAAAATTATCCATTGATTATCACAAATGTTACCAGTTATTAGTTGATTGAAAATCAACTAATCACTTAATTGACATATTGTCATTACAGTTGACAGTTAAAGTTGTGGGGCAGGGGAAAAATATAGCACTAATAGTGAAAATACAGAGGAATCGATAGATATAGGACCCTGGAGGGGGGTTTACTATCGACACAGAGATGTGCAGGGGTGTCAGGGTTGGATTTAGGATATATAGAGCTCTGTGGGGTAGTTGTGGACAGATATCAGACAGAGTTATAGGACATTAGGGATTGACACAGGCTCTTGGGAATCAGTTCTGGGGGAGATGGGGCTAATCTGGAGCTTTGGAGGGGAGGTGGGGGTAGATATTGGGTTCTGTGTGACAATGAGATGAGATACTGCACTCTTGAGGAAACATGAGATTTAGGGATCGTAGAGGTGTTAGAAACAGGTACAGGACTCCTTGGGGTAGGGAGGGGCAGGACTATGGGGAGGTGCAAGTGATACAAAGACTGTTCTTGCATCAGTAAGTTGGAGCTAACATTGAGTGTGTATGTTTCTGTAGCTGGTATTGTGGGAGTGTGTGTGTGTGTGTGTGTGTGTGTGTGTGTGTGTGTGTGTGTGTGTGTGTGTGTGTGTGTGTGTGTGTGTGTGTGTGTGTGTGTGTGTGTGTGTGTGTGTGTGTGTGTGTGTGTGTAGGAGTGGTGCAGAGAGCGAGGTCGGGGAAGAGAGCAGCTCTACAGTCTGGGTCTTTGTGTCCCTCACGGTGTGTGTGTGTGTGTGTGTGTGTGTGTGTGTGTGTGTGTGTGTGTGTGTGTGTGTGTGTGTGTGTTTGTATGTGTAGGAGGTAGGCAGAGAGGGAGGCAGGGAGGGGCTCCCAGCATTGTCTTTCACCTCTCAAGGCCACAGACACAGCTGCAAGCTGCAGGATACACACACACACACACACACACACACACACACACACACACACACACACTGCAGCAAGTGACTGAAAAGGATGGGCTGGAGAAAGTGAGAGATGTAGTGGGAAGATAGAGTCGATGGGTAGAGGGAGGGGATGGATGGAGTGGAAGAGGAGTCGTGAGGCAAAGTGATGAGATGGATGGACATCTCAAGACTTAAAACAAGTATGTGGAGTCGGCAGAGTGAAGAAGAAAGAAACATAAGTGATTGAGAGAGTGTGTGAAGGAAAAATACATGACTAGCATGGATGGGGAGGGGATGGATAGATGTACAGACTAACACTGAGCTGAACTGAAAGGAAAAAGAAGGTGAATAAAAAAACGTATAAAAGAATTGTGGGTTAAAGAGATTCAAAATCTGAGACGATACTGTTGATGGAGAAAGTTCTTCGAATAGAGTTTATTCATCCAGATGTCTGAGTCTAATTCATGATTTACAGTTCTATTTTGGATCCGGATCCACGTTAGTAAGATACCCAGATTTGTTGAGCTCTGTGGCCAACAAATCCCTTATCAAATCTTTCATTCACAGGGCACCCCAGTAGCTCCCCTGGTAGAGCTCACTCCCCAGGCTGAGTCCTTACCGCAGCGGCCCGCGTTTGATTGCAGCCTTTTGCCTCTTTCTGACACTTCAGGCATCTGCAACAAAATAAAACTGGTGAATACAAACATGAGCAAATGCAGTTTTCCAAGGAGTGGGTAAACTTAACTGAAGTCATTGCAACAAGTGCGAAATGCAATATTTGCCGGAGGGATGTCACAAGAAAGGGAGGAATGACAAGTGATTGAATATTTATCTGCAGCCCATCATGTTAAAATGAGAACTTGCAGCATTTTTGACAACTTGAGATGTGCTCGTGCTCAGCCTGCTGCCAGTGTTACTCTGTGCTCTGTGGCCTGTAGCAGTGCAGTATAAAGCTAGCCTTCAGCTAAGGTTAAGTGAATCACACATGTAGAAAAATCTGAAATATATTTAATTGATAAGGTAGAATTAATATTTCCAATGTGTTGTTTTCACTTCTGCAGCTGTAGCACAGCCCCACAGTGAGGAGCAAAGACCATTTTCCCCTGCAGCAAAAAGAAAAATGAGTCAGGAGGGTTAATGAATGTCACAGAGAAGTGACTAAATATATGGTGCACCCTTTCTGCACAGTAGTCTCTGTGATTTTGGTTTGATACTGAGTGAAATCCTGCCTAAAAGCATTCAATAAGGGATTCGGAACTGGATTCAGATTAGATTTAATGCTCACAAACCCGATCCCTAGTCATCTGTCCTCTACATTTTTTTGCAAAGGAGTCATACTACAGCAAATGTTGTTTTATACATCACGGAGAAAAACAACAGGGTAGAAAATAGACCCCTCGTCAGGATGATGAGAGGAAGAAAGCGTGATTGTGGGAGGGAGAAAGCAGCAGAGGTGGAGAATAGAAACACAAACAGAATGATGATGAGAGAAGATGAACGAGGGAGAAAAAGGGGAGAGATGTCAAAGGAATACACGACCGCTGGCTGATAAAGCTTTGATTTACATACTGATGTAGAATAAGAAGTAGCAGTTTCAACTCTCTTTTTATAATATAATCTGCAGCGTGGCATGTATCCTTTTAGAAGATGACACAGAGAAAGCCTGTACTCTACACCAAAGAGCAATCACCTGCCACAGCATCAGCGTGTAGGGAAATGAATGAATCCTGGACACATGCAGTATCTGCTGCATCATACTGTATGAAGCTTGTTGTTTTGCAGTTTGAGCTCTGGAACAATGATTCCTTTATATCAGCATTTCTGTTTCCTGACAGTTTTTGTAGTTGGAGCATTGGAACGGACTTGCTGTGTTCATAAACTTGGTTCAGTTCTTTCTTCTCCAAGGAGTTAAAAGTTTGCCAAGTTTACGCTTTATTTTTTTACTTTGAGTTTGGTTTAGAAATTTGCTGAAACAATTAAGCTCACTAACCGAAAATCAATTCACAGAAAATAAATTGACAACAACTTTGATTCTGGGTTTTAGTTTAAATCATTAATCAAGCAAGAATAATCAGTAGTTTACTAGTTTCAGCTTGTATCAGTCTTATATCACAGTGGACTGAATTTCTTTTTAGACAAAACAAGATATTTGAAGATGTCACTTCAAACGTGAGTTTTTTGACACCTAGAGGCCTGATGAAGTCTAATATAGTCTCTTATCCCAGTACATTGATTGTTATGTAGCGGCACTGGCAAGGGCAGGGAAGACGCTTACATGGTTGGCAGGAATCAGAATCTCACGTTAAATCTCTGTCAGCTGATCATCAAACAGCAGCAGGTAGGACTTCATCATTCTGCAACCTTTAAGTGTTGGCAGGGATAGTACGGTACCTTTTCCATTTGGTTTCAACCACTACAAGACATGTGATGTATGTGTTGATCAGTCTGTGTGGTGGTCATAATGCGGTTTGTACAGGAGGTATTTTTTTATTTGCCACACAGAGCCATCATTTAAAGTCAGCATAAGTGCCATGTGCTATTTTGTGTGCCATGAAAAAGTGCAGTGGAAAGAGGTTTTGGAGCGAACCCAATGTAATCCAAACCAACAACAGGAAATGACCCACTCACACCAGGGATTATAGGTATAAGGAGATAGATATTGACCTCTGATAATCAGTAGTTCTTAATGCTTGGAAAGTCGAGGCAAAATAAAATGAGGTGGAGGATGAACTGCTTCTGGGACTGATGCTGATTCAGTATGGGAAATTCAATATGGTACAAGCACCAAAGATGCCAGAAGATCACTAACAAGATACACGAAATTTGATTTGCTTACATTTTGTGTAAATCTAAACAAAGCAAAGATTGAAATACAGCTAAGGGAGCTTCCATTACCATTCTTGCTTCACAACGGTTCATTGATGTAAGAGATTATTTGTTGGTATGTTCCTTTAAACTGAAAAGCTACAGAAGAAATGTGGGATAAATGGTGCCAGAGGAGAACAGAGAGGCTTTTTGTTTTGGTTGGATTCATACAGTCGTGCTTGATTATATATATGAACCGCTCACCCATTTGTGTGTATGTGCATAAGACTTTATCTACTATACAGTCGGGGTTGTGTGTTCATCCATGTGTGTCTATATCCATTGTGCATTTCAGTGCCTTCACATGGTTGCGCACGTGTGTGGACTAGGGGCGAGATGATGATAATGATGATGATTAATGTGGACCTTCGAAGGGATGTTAACTGTTCTCTCAGCAGGTTAATTTAATTAGGTAAAGCCCAATAAAACAACGTCAGGATGGTTGAACCCATCACTGCGTTTTTTATCGTCACTTTCTGGTCCAAGCGCAGTTTTAAAGCCTTAAAGCTGCAAATAGTCCAAACTGTCAAACGCAACCTTGAAAGTCAGCAAATCTCCAGGGGTCAATAATAAAATGGAATATTGTGCCCTTTTCTAATAAATACTCTCATGTGTCAAGAAATGCTGCAGGTATGTAAGCTTAGAGAAGAAAACAAGACATGTGGAAAAGATGTTCAATCACTCAAGAATTTTTATTATATATATTATGGAACATTTTTGAGTAGGAAGGAAATAGCTTTTTTTGTAATATCGCTCTGAAAAGGACATAAAGCATGTGGGAAAGTATTTTTTTTACATCAGGGCCACTGCGGGAACTTGAGACTACCAACTTAACCCCACTAACAGCCTTGAAGACAGTCACTATTCTGTGCTTCAGGTTTTATGGTTGTGGATACATCACACGTGTTCCTTGAAATTGGCAAATCGCCCTGCATATTGTTGCTTTATAACCACAGACGACGTGCAGTGCTTCAAAATGTATTCCTCATTTTGTATTTTATTAATTTATTATTAATTTATTAATAAAAGAAGGACAATACAAGTAGGCCTAGGCATTGTGCCATTCAAATAAAATGCAACTGATGCAGGACCTCTAGCCATAGATAATTTGCAGTCCCTGGTTTAGCTTTTAAATAGAAAAAACACAAAATACAACACTCTAATACAGGAATAGAAACTAACAATTAAACAGACTGACAAACAACCACTACAAACAGTAATTAAGACAAAAATGATGAAAAACAACAATTTAGAACAATGACTGAAAACGACAATTAAGAACAAAAGAAGGAGAATAAAATGTGTATGCCACAGGTTTGCCTTTATTTAAGCCATAGTTTAACTTTGGTATTGTATCTTACAATGGTGCTATTTGGTATCCGTTTCTGATCCAGTATTTTCAAAGCTTGTTTGTATAATGACATAATGGGCCATATCTTGCCGATCTGAAACGCAAGTATCAAACGCAAAACGCAAGAAGCTTTGTGGGCGGATCTCGGGCGCTGTTGCTATTATGCCGGCGGGATAAATGACTCTTGCGCCCGGCGCAAATCTAAAATGGGTTGGTCTGAAGTAGCTACATTAGTCATAGGTGTGGTTTGGGCGTAACGTGCAATAAACCAATCAGAGCGTCATCTCACATTCCCTTTAAAAGCAGGCGCGCTTGTTCCATGGCGGATTGCTATTATAACGGCGGAGTTGCCAGGCGCACGCCAGGAGCGGTTCACAGCCGAGGAGACCGACGTTCTCGTCAGGGCCGTAAAAGACCGAGAAGTGACATTATTGACATGAAATAAATGTAACACAGCCATACAATAAATCAAAACAATGTAACGCAGCTCCGCAGGAATAAGACCCTGGCCTCGGGAGCGGTGCGCACGGGCCGAGCAGTGCGCAAGGGCCAGCTGAGGAGGGAGCGGCGCAAACACCAAGGTGCAGAGGATCCAGACCCACTACACACCGGAGGACCACCCGTTCCTGCAGCAAACCGGGTTTGACTAGGTTTTTCCTGGTCTGTGGCGGAATTGTTTTCTGAAACAGCAAAATAGCACAAGGGAACGTTTGCGCCGGAACACGCCTCCTCTTTTCGCTGAACCGCCCCCCGGAGCGCAAGTTCATTCCCTAATTTAAGGACGTGCATCGGTCGAGGGAAAATTCCAATGTGCGTCTAGTGCAAAATAGGAATTATACAAGCGCCAGTGTACAAAGTCAATTGCGCTGAGTGCAAGATAGAGCCCAATAGGTTTCACTGCTGATTAAATTACCTGGCCCCAGACAGTTATACAAATAAAAAAACATATGGTGACCATAGCCTTGTGGAGTCTGTGTTGATGCTGCTTTGTAAAAGAAATCCATCTTGCATTTTGGAAACTTTAAAGTTGTGAGTTACAACTCTTTGCAAAGACAAACGTGAATGCTGACAATGCAGCAGTGATGATAAAGGCCATATTGTTAAGTGAAGACTGATTCTGGTCAGTACTGTATATTTGCACCTTTCCTAACAGTTTTTCTCTGGATAAATAAAGTGAATCATATCATATCTTAGGGAAGTAATTATCTTGCATTACAGAAGTTTCATAAAGCATTGATACAAACTCACTTTACATTGCTTGATGGATAGAATATCAAGGGAGAGAGTAGATGAATGCTGGGAGAGGCAAAGAGAAAGCAAAACATAAAGTGAAGTGAAGCCGGAGGGAGAGTATAAAAGAGGAAAAAAACTAATTGGAAGAGAGTGGATCTCTTCCTCTCTCCCTCTCCAAAAAACAAGTGAATTATTGAGCCAGTTAGAGAGTGAATATAAAACCAAGAGACAGTTTGACTCCAAAACCAAACCACGTCACAATCTTACATCCCTGTTAGGCTCCCTGCTGTCCCCCAGCAGAGCAGAGTACAGTACATTAAAGTACATTAAAGCTGCAGCTCTCACTGGCCTATATAGAGTTCCCCTTCACATTAATCTTTCATGACTAACCCCAAAAATATAGAGCAAACCTAATTTGCCGTGAGTCAACACACACACACCCTGGGTGCAGGAGCGGAGATTGTGTGTTTCCACGTTTCTGGGAATGTTTCTACAAAACTCCTGAGATAATGAAAAGATACAAACACAGACTTGTTCCAATCAGTCTATCCACCCCTAAATGACTTTATTGACAATGGCAAAGTGAGTTTGTTACATAAAAAGGATCACTAGGAGTGCAAGCAAGGGTCACAATCAAAATTACTTAAGGAAACTATGAATCCAGTTTGTTGTAAATGCTCCACAGTTTCTACTGTAGTAGGACCAGTGTGGAGGATTAAGTGTCATTTGGGGTTAAGTTGCAGCAAACCAACTGAATATGCTGTGTTTAGGAGAAACTACAGTTGTTGCAAGAGGACCTGCTCCCTCTGTAGATAAAAACTGCTCATTCTAAGGTAACAAACCAACAACAATTCTTATACTTAGGTGATTATAGACTAATGAAAAAATGTTTCTCTTTCATACAAAGCCTGGTGCAGATCAGCTAATATCATTTAATATGAATGATGAGAGAAACTGTGACGCACAGCATGAACATGTCATGTGTTGTATCCTGGAGCATAAAGCTTAGAAACATTTACTTTGCACACAAAGACACATTTACAGTATATTAAAGCATGGAAATATTGCCAGGGGGAGAACAGTGTTCTCCATATTATTTGTTATGTATCATGTTGATAATGTGCTTTTCAGACAAGGCTGTTTTCACTGTGGGCACAACGATAAACAGGCTATGGATGTCATTTTGTTATTGAACCTTAAATGGTTAATTTAATACATGTTGTAAACTGTTGTAGCCATTTTACATCTTGTTTAATGGAAGTAGTTTTTGACCTTGAGGCGAGAGAATTTGGTTTTGTCCCCTAGGTGTGGTGGTGTGATCGGGCTGCATGAGTCTAAAGGAATATCTTTATGGTATTAATATTTACAACCAGGTTTTGGGGCATTTTTGTTTTTATTGGCTAGGGACAGTGAAGAGGCAGACATGAAATGAGAGAGAGAGGGAGAGAGAGAGAGAGAGAGAGAGAGAGAGAGAGAGAGAGATGATTGACAAAGGTGCTCCTACAACCAGGTTAATTACTTTCTCTTGTAAAACAATGGAAAACCTGAATTGATCTTTAATCTTATTACGTTCAAGTAAAATAATAAAAATATGTTATTCAGAAAGTATTTAAACACTGAGTATAACTGTAAACTCACCCGTGGGAATTTGTAACCGATCATGAGTTATGATTGGGTGCAGTGTGCGACATCACCTGAGACTGCAGTTTGTGTCCTCTCTTCTGTAACAATGACCCCAAACCTTCCCAGACTTCAACCAAATAGATCTGTGTATTGTACCTTTGACATACCTCATAGTGTCGTCCTTTTTCTCCATAGTGTATCGCAGCAGTGTGTTTCCCAGCACTTGTTAAGATTTGTAACAGCCTTGTAGAGTTTCCCCTTTCTGGGTGTAACAAAGCCCGACACATCTGTGAAGCATACAGTAGACTGCCATGTCAGACATGGCAAAAGGCCAAAAATAAAACAATTTTTAAGGCGAGCTCTCACATCTTCTGCAGAAATACGGTCCTCGGATTTGCAGCCACATCAGCAAAAAGGGTTGTCACCCATCAGTCTTATACAAGTCTTAACTGACAGTGAGACAGCACAGCAGATGGTACTTTATCTGAGTATCTCTCTCTGTCTAACACACACACACAGGCACCATGTTTCCTGGTGTATGGGGTGCTGCAGTTTGTGTAAAGTAGGTCATGAGGGCAATGTTGACCATTACAGCCTTTGACTGTGGCAAGCAGCTTACCTCACTCACTATTAATAGACACACACACACACACACACACACACACACACACACACACACACACACACACACACACACACGTCTAGCAGGCAAGAGATCATGGAGGAATGAATGCATAACTTAGCATTAATGCTGACATACCTTACTGTACGTCTGCATGAGAAATAAAGAGCACATATTAATGCTGTTTTCTATCACAGGGCCTGTTGCTCAGTTCAGAAAGTAGATTATATCATCTCTAAAGCTTGTGGCTAATATATTGATATTACTTGTGCTCCAGCCACCTTGTTGTTTAACAGCTAGAGGGAAAAGAGGAGGACAGAAAGTAACACACGTGTTTGGTTCCCTTATTGTAAAAAGAGTATTTGAACACAAAAGCTACATTCAGCTACATACGTCCCTCCCGCCCACCCTCCCTCTCCGTCTATAATCCATTTTCTTCAAGGTTGCACAGGAGTAGAAGACGAGGAAGAGAGGGCAGAGTGAGAGGAGAGAGAAAACGAGAAGGGAGGAGAGAGAAAACGAGAAGGGAGGAGAAGGCGGGCGGGAGAGGAAATTGGGAAAGAAAAGAGCAGAGCTGAAGGGAAGCCAAAAAATTATCAGAGAGACGGAGCGGGAAGAGGAGAGGTGGGAAATGAGAATGAAACAGATGGAGGGCAGAGCTGAAGTAGAAAATAAGGAGAGGGAAGGAAGAAAGGCAAGGCACAGCAAAGAAGAAGGAGTGTGAATGAGAGGGGAGAAAGTGGGTGAAAGAGAGGAGGAGGAAGAAATCAAGAGCAGAGCCAGAAGGCAGAAGATGACGAGGGCAGAGGGAACACGAACAGGAGAAGTATAAAAAATTGGAAGGCTGCAGGAGAAAGGGGCATTTTTACACGCTTGTGAGAGATCATGTGCTTCCTCCTACCCTAAATATGTCAGGAAAGCCCCCAGAACCGCTCTGCTACAGTCATATTCATTCTGCATAATGCGTTTTTTTCCTGTACAAACCTGAACATATAGCAGCTTTTTAAAGAGGAATGAAATGTATCACGTCGGTTGTCTTCAGGGTGGTGCGTTAGTCACTGCTCGCTGTAACTGTGGTAGTTTTTATTAGGTCTATAGATCAATGTTGCTTTCTTCCGAACTTGTTTTGAATGGTTGAGTAATGTTAAATTGGTTTGCATGTTTGGTTCAAGTGCTTGTTGGTTTATTTTGCCTGCAAAACTTTAAGGTTTGTGATTCAACTCATATTGGGCCTTGTTGAGAGACTCGGATAATAATGAACGGGAGCCCAACTATATGTCTAACACCAGATATATACTAGCTCACGGTAATTATTTTAGAGAGTTGAAACAAGACAGGGAGTTACGATCTATCTACTATTATGCTACTAGATGCAACTAAATCCTACACACTGGTCTTTTAACTTACTTACTTTTGCACTACATTTTTAATTTTAAAGAAAATGAAGAATTGAACAAGCATGGAATTGTAACGCTGCAATGACCCCTGCTCCTGGAAATGTCAAAATGTTGATTTGTTTTGGCTGAAATGTGGTGGAGGAGATGGCTTGAAGGATCAGTTGGCATGAGAGAGGTTCAGTTTTTTTTTTTTTTTATTCCTGTATTGGGAAAAAGTCCAGGGGGCAGATCTATAAACAATGCATATACAAAAAAAATATCCATACACCTTATTAAACCTAACCCATATTTTAGCACACATAAATGTATTAACAAATAATTCACAGCGAGAATGAGATGCAGACTTCTAGAGCCAGCTGCAGGCAGTATTATTAGGAACAGAGTAAATATAAGGTAACAGAGTCATAACCTTATAGTATAACATTGTTAAGGTTGTTCACCAGTTTTTCTGATTGTGTTATTATTTTTGCAGTTCACACAGCAGTCTGTAAAACTTCAGTCATGTAGAAAGAGAGTAGCTCCAGTCATAAATCTACCAAAAATAATTTGTGTGCATGTTTCTGTCTTTGTGCGTACGCACAGGTTTAGTTTTAAGCACCTGGACCCTGGAGTTAAGTGCAGCAGCTAAAAATGATCTAAAATTCACATGCTATTATGTTTGGCTTTTGAAAATAAAAACTGTAACACACACTATAAACGGTGTCGTAGAGGCTGCAGGATGGAAACTGGTGTTGTTGTCGAGGTTTTTCACTGCTGAGAGCTCAGTTATCCAGTCAGAAGAACATTGTCTCAAATATTGACACAAGTCTGCATGAGAGTACAGTGTTCTAATGAAATGTGATGAACCTCAGTGTGAGAGTGAGTGCTTGTATATGTTCATACAGTATTAATGTTGTGGTATGTAATATTCTTGTCTGTATGCTGTGTGCTCACTATATTTGTGAGGTAATATTGTGTTGATGCATCTATAATACTAGTGACTATGGTGTGTATATAACTGTATGTTTAGATCTTGTGGTTTATACAGTAAATGTGTCACTCAGACATAATGGTGTGTGTGTGTGTGTGTGTGTGTGTGTGTGTGTGTGTGAGATTAGGGCCTGTAGAGAATAGGCAGTATGTTTCCATGTGCACAACATCCAGTCAAGGCTTTTAGCAGGGAAAATATACCTCCACACATACACATGCACACACACACACACAGACACAAACACACACACACTTCGAGCCCCGCCCCCTCTGCATCACTTTATACATCGCTCCATCCCGTCCAACCATCCCCCGCTCTCTCTCCTGCTTACATTTTGTCAGTTCCTCCTTTGTCCAGCCTCTCTTTCTCTCCTCACCCACACATTCACATTAATGCACTCACTCTCTCTCTCTCTCTCTCTCTCTCTCTCTCTCTCTCTCTTTTCTCCCCCTCATCTTTCACACTTCTTATTTCTTTCTCTCTTTGTACCGTTCTTTACTTCTGCCTGGTCAGGTTCTCCTCCCCTCAGCGAAGGGAGTAAGGAGTCAGAGATGATAGACTCCTCTCCTCTCTCGTCCTCTCTGATGCAGACCAGAAGGAGTGGCCCATTGTTCTTCCCCTCTGTCTCCTCTCCTCCTCAGCTTCATGTCACAGTGTGTGTGTCTGTTTCACATGCAGTTTGTGTGTCAGTGGATGGTGCAGCCCATCACAAGCTCTGTTAAACTCTTCTGTTGTGGTAACAGTGCTGTCTGTCTGCCTGTCTGCCTGTCTGCCTGTCTGTCTGTCTGTCTGTCTGTCTGTCTGTGCTGTCACCATAAACTGTACAAGTGGAGCCAATGTGGAAGTGCCTTAAACCTGCACTCTGCACCAGTTAATGAGAAAATTCTTCTCACTTTATTTAGTTTCCTGATGAGTTTATGCGATGTATGCTTTAGTGTGTTGCTACCTTGTGATTGACAAGTGAGATTCATGGTGTCTAGACCCATTCTTATTCAAATCCAATCATAATAGCTCCTCCCTAACTTGTCCAGATATGGTAATGTCCAAACTAGTGGAAGTATCTCCTGTAAAAGAAGCCAAAACATGATCGATGCAGTATTGTTTTATATATTTTTGAGGAAATCAACTTAAACCAAAGAGACGTCTATTCTATATTTTTCTTATTGTCAATAAATCCCATTTAAAAAAAACCCCAAAACAAACCAGCAATGAATGTATCCTACAAACAAGTATTGTTGTGTGTATCAATACATAGAGCTCCATTGTTGTCCAAAAACTATAAAAATCACATCAGTGAGTCACACTGTTGCCATTTTCCTTCATTACCATGAACACACAAACTGCAGTTTATTTTGACTCAGTCCCTCATACACCATCCTGCTGCCCCAAATATTCACTAGAGCACCAAATGTGGATTCATCTCCCATTGACAAATTTTCTATTTCCTCCTATTTGAGTTTGGTTTGTTAAAAACTGCAGTGAGCAGCGTTCAGGACTTACTGATGCTTTTTTTTTTTTTCAAACACTATATATTTGTGAGGTTTCAGTTGGAAGAGCCACAGACAGGAAGTTAGAAAGTACTGAAGACAGACTAACACACTGTTGGTTTTGGTCTTACCGAGGGATTTGTTTACTGTAACAAATATGTGCTGTGAGAAAGCAGCACAGGAGAGGCCAGAAACTTCAGCAGAACAATCTGCCACGTTCCACATGAAACAGTCGAGTAATTTGTTTGTAGATCTGTTTTAACAGTTGCTGCGGTGTCCATGCCTCTGATAGTTTATGTGTGTGTGTGTGTGTGTGTGAGAGAGAGAGAGAGAGAGATTTATATTGCCAGTTATGGTGTATTGAGTTAAAAAAAGGTGAATGGAAATGTCAAAATTCCCCAGAGCCTCAGAAAATCTGATTATAACTAATTAGTATCAGTCTGCTTAGTCCGTATACGAGTTTTTGAGAATGTACATGTGCTGTATAATTTATGTTTGGTGTCGTGTTTTGCTGCCTCTGCTATTACTGTAAGGTAGCAGTGTGCCCCATATGAATTAGTTCCAGAAAGACGTGTGAATTGAAGTGAATTTATTCCTCTTATAGCTGCTAACCTCTCCTCTCCCTCTAAGCTAATTCATTATTATTATTTATTTGTGCGCCATATTTCCACATTTCAACAACAACATTTGTGTGACAGCTGAAGGAACCGTCGCTGGTGACCACAGTTCATTCAGTATGTGTTCAGAGCCTTCAGGTAAACAGCCAGCTGCTGTATCAGTGTGTTGGCTCAGATTATTTTCCCCACTGTCTTCTCTCCTCTGCTGCCCACATGATGCAATATTAATTGACTCCAATCAGAGGAGGGAAAGTGGCTACGTGTGTGTGTGTGTGTGTGTGTGTGTGTGTGTTTGTGTGTGTGTGTGTGTGTGTGTGAGAGAGAGCTCATATCCTATCCATCTTCTATTCTGTCTCTTCCTTTCCACCTCTTTCTCCTCTCCTGAGACACAAAGCCTTCATACAGTAGAGCAGTGACAGTTCAGTAGCTGTGAAGAGATACACA